TGCCAAGTTCCAAAGCCAATTCCACATTTTTGGGTATTTGGTATTCATCACCCCACTGTTTGGTACCAAAATCATTATTAGTCAGCTTGGGTTGCCATACCTAGTTGGCTTAAAAAAACAGAATTTATTTCTCACAATTCTGGATGCTGGGAAGTTCAAGGCTAAGGTGCTGGCCAGTTTGGTTCCCCAGTAAAGGCCTTCTTCCCAGCTTGCAGCCTGACAACTTTTCATTGCCTTTTGGGTGGCAGGAAGAGAGAGGGAGGAGGGGGGTAGTGGGAAAGAGAGAGAGAGAAGGAGGGAGAGAGAGAGAAAGGAAGAGAGTGCACTCTAGTCTTTCTTCCTCTTCTTATAAAGGCACTAGTCCCATTATAGAGGCTCCCATCCTCATCACCTCATCTAACCATAATCATCTCCCAAAGGTCCCACCTCCAAATACTATGACATTGGAATTTAAGGCTTCAATATATGAATCTAGAGGGCAGGAGGCAAACGTTCAATCCATAAAAAGTTTTAGCTGGACTCTCCTTGATTTCTTCTTCATTTTTTTTATTTTTTATTTATTTTTAACGATTTTATTTACTTATTCATGAGACACACACAGAGAGAGTCAGAGACACAGGCAGAGAGAGAAGCAGGCTCCACACAGGGAGCTTGATGTGGGACTCGATCCCAGGACCCCAGGATCACGCCTTGGGCTGAAGACAGGAGCTCAACTGCTGAGCCACCCAGGAGTCCCTCATTTTTTGCTTTTATCTGGTTTTATGGCTTTTTGTTTTTGTTGTTGCAATCAATGATTAACAGACATTTTCAGGCTTCAGTATGTAGTTTGTCATATGAAATGCAATTTACAACAGTTTATTTTGGTCCATTTTTAGTTTCAGTTTTTCCCCTTTTCTTTTCTTTCTAAATTTATTAGATAATTTAATTTCAATAAATTTATTAGAAGTCTGCCTATTATGTATTATAGTAAAAATGCCACTATTTTATGAATTAGTCTAGAATAGGATATTTTTATGGAAAAGTTGATAAAAAACATTTTTCAGTCAATCTGGACTGTCACACACACAAAAAACCCACCAAGATAAATGTGTTGACACTACACAAGATGGCCAGCTGCTGAAGTGAGAAATTCCCAATGACCATGAGATAGTAACTTCCTAACCACCAGCCTATACCTCCAACTCCCAACAAGAACTTGAGGCCCATTGAAGAAGAAGGCTGGGTGGAGCACGGGACCAATGATCTATCATATTCTATAGAAATGTGCTTGCTATGTATGCAAAAGTATTTGAAATGACTCTTGTTTGTGGTGTATTAGGACTATATTGAATGTGACTAAAACTATAGCCCTAGAGGAAATGGATGAAAATAGTTCAGAATGTTGGCGAGTATTGGTTACCTTCTTGCCACTTTCAGAAAAGCCCAGCTAGAGAGACTTAGGCTAGAGGAAGGCAGATAGAGGAGATGACAGCTGGACAAGGAGGTTTCCCTCTGCCTGGGGCCTGTGATCTATGAGTCTGGTAAGAAGGTGCCACATGGCTGAAAATACCAACCTCTTCTGAACCCCACGTTCAGCTTTGAGAAAGCAAAGCTCTGAAGAGGCAGCCAAGTCTGTGCCCCACATTCCTCTCAAACACTCCGAGTCATAGCTATGCAACAAGGGTCAGTCCAACATTAAACTAAGTGCTAGTCCTTCTAAGCACAGAGCCCAAGTGACCGTACAGATCCAATAGACATGAAGACAACCCAGCCCATAGAGAGTGGGCCTGTGTCTCATTTGTGGAAGGTCATTCTACAAATACTTGAGGTATATATGATAGTGCAAGTGGCCTCAACGTAGTCAACTTCAACTGGAGAGAGAGAGAGAGAGAGAGAAGGATGGTGAGCAAACAAGAGGCCAACAAATAAAAAAGAATCCTTAGGATTAAACCCATGACTAGATGGGGCCTTTGCACGTGGAGCTGAATGTGTATGTAAGAAGCTGACCCAGGGAGGCACCTATCAATCAGGAAGCCCCTGCAAACCTAGACCCCTGCAGCTAGGGCAGCCTCTCACATTCCTTTGCAGGTGGCCATGCAGATACTGACAATAACGCGCGCGTGCGCACACACACACACACACACACACAAACACACACACAGAGCCAAGTCAGACCTGATGAGGCCTGAGACCCAGGGAGCAAATCCAAGAGCTGAGTCCGAGTGCCCGAGTGCTGGCCCAGAACTCCCTTCCCTGCCAGGGAGACAGTCTCCAGCATTCATGCCGAGGTGCTCGTGGGAGGATTCGGCAGACCGTGAACAGAGATGACTGCAAAGCTTGCTTACAAGCGTGTGAAAACTTGACATCCAGTGCTGCACAGTTTTATTTAAGTAACCACATGGAAACGGCTAAGCAGAGCTTGAATGCTGCTGTGTGTCTCCCATTCTCCACCTCTCCACACTCCAGGTTGGGGGGTGTGGGCACACGACCTGTCCTTCACTGATAGGACCTGATGGAGAGGCTGCCCCTTGTCCAGAGGGACTCGACTGAGCTGCATTCAGGACTGCACAGGACTTTGACTTTGGATTGTCCTCCTGACCAGGGACTGCATCCTGGGGCAGCAGGTGACCATATACAAAGACTATGGCAGAAGCAGGTCATTATCCCTGGTGTCCATTCTCCTCTTCTCCCTCGAGCCAGCCGGCAAAACACCCTGGGGGCAGGCGGCACCTGGGCCCCTGATGGCTGCCTAAGGAACCTGTCATACAAACTGAGGATTTTACATGAGAGAAAAATATTTGAACCTCCAGTGCTAATGCGTGTGTTATCCAGGCTTCTAACTTCTCCAGGCCAGCAGTGTGAAGCCGGGTCTCACTGACATTTAATTTGCCTTTTCTCTCATGGCTAATCAGCAGAGCATCTCTTTCACCCCAGGGCCTCAAAACTATTTCCTGTGTTATTTCCTGCTAACCTCATCTCTGTCCATATCGGATCTTTAGCTCATTTAGAGACTACATTTTGTGTGTTAAGTAGAGATCTAGTTCTGGTTTTCTCCATTGAGTGAGCTCACTTTCCCAATACCTTCTATTGAAGAACCCACTATTTTGCCATTGATTGTCGTGCCATATTTATCATCTATTAATTTTCTACCTCCACAAAAGTCTGACACTGATCTCTCTGCTGTCCCGCTCCTGCTGTCAATTCTCCTGTCAATAGTAATAGCACATCCTTCCCTTTCCTTCTTAGGTTGATTTGGCAATTCTATGATTTTTCTTTTTCCACACACAGTTTGAGTTTCCTCCTAACCAAGTAGAACTTTGACTAGGTTGCAGATTTATAGGTTAAATTAGAGGGAAATTTATATCTTTGAAATATTAAGTTGCCCTATCCAAGAGCAAGAAATATCTTTCTATTTACTAAGATTATCGTCTTTGTCTTTTACTAGAGTTTCAAAGTGTTCTCCACAGAGGTTTTGAGCACTCTTTATTACACAGCATTTTATAGCTTGTGCTGCTATCATGGAGTATATTTCATTTTCTCTTACATTATCTTGTTGGTTATTGCTGGTGCAGAGAAATGTATTTTCCTTTTTCTAACATCTGAAGATATACCCTTTTGTCTTCTTTAACAATGAAAAAGTAGTTAGAGCGATATATTTATATTATTGATTCAATATTAACCAAACTTTTAGAATCTCTTAAAGAGAGTTTTCTTTGAGCCCTGGTTAGGATAGCTGCCCCAATACAGAATATTTATAAAGAAGAGAATGCTCTGCCCCACATTGGGTGCGGAGTCTACTTAACAACAACAGAGAGTGCTGGGAGAGGAGGAGGAACATTTGGTGCAGGATTATATACATTCTTTTTAACATGAGTTACAAAGCATTAGACAAAAGACATTTCAGAGAGTTACAGCGCTTATTTTAAGCTATTAGTAGATGTAGAACTGTATGACCTTAACCTTCTGGGAACCAGGGAGGTTTCTGTTTTTGTTTTACTCTTCTCTTTATGTTTGGATTCCTCCCTTTTAGGTTATTAATAAATGAAGCGAATGTTACAGGGTTGTAGAGTTGTCTCCGGGAGCGGAAGAATGTATTTTTTTAAGACACAAAAGGGGGAAGTGATAGTTTATTAAGTGAAGGTGAGAACAGAAATCAAGCTCTCTAGAGTGAGAGGGACCTGAATCAGCTGGCACTGGGCACTTTTATACAAAAGTGACCAGGGAACTTAGACTTCTTGGTGTCGCCTTTGAATACCTTCTAGCTGATGTTTAAGACAAACCGGGTGGTCTGCTCATGCGCCCGTATCTCTGGGATTTGTAGAGGCTGGTCAAGCAGCGGCTTTCCTGGTCTCTCCCCGCCGGCCCATTACTCCCGGATGTAGAACGTGTTCCCAGGAGAGACTGAGCCCGCGCTTGGACTCTGACAAATGTTAAAGTGTAGCTTCCCTGAGAGCCCCTTACAGGGCCCACAAGCATTAAAAAGTCGGAATTTTCCTTTGTTTTATGGATATTTTTTTCTCTGAAAAATATTCTGTAAATTTTGAATTTCGTATATTTTCCACTTCACACTGGCTTCCATAGGCGCGAGAATGAAGTCTTTTGCTTTTCATTGCTTGATAAGCAGTCTGTCCTTTTCCAGCTACTATCACTTTTTATTAAAAGATTACGTAGGCAATGTTCGTAAATTCCAATATTTAAGAATTTTTTGCGAACTTTTCATTACAGATTTCTAATTTTGACCATCTTCCCGCCGAATGCACCTGCCGGCGCCCGCCGTCCTCGAGCTCAGTGTGCCCCGGGCAGCCGCACGGAGCGTGGCGTCTCCTTAGGGACTCCGCGTGTCCCGCCCGCCCGGCGGCTCAGGGCCCCGCCCCCACACAGGCTGCGAGCACCGCGCGGGCCGCCGCTCGGACCTCGGGGACGCGAGGGAGCCCGCGCTCGCGCCGGCCGCCGGCGGGGCCACCGAGTCTCCGGGCCTCCGCCGCCTAGAGCGCCGCCGCCGCCCGGAAGTCGGGGGAGGGATTTCCGGCCCCGCCTCTGGGCCGAGCCGGCCGTCCTGCGGCGGCGGGCGGCGACCGGAGTGACCCCCGGGCGGGGAGGACCCGCGGACGGGAAGCCGTGACACGGACGCCCCGCGGTGGGTGCCGGCCCCGGGGCCTGGGCAGGGCGGCGTGGGCAGGGGGCGGGGGCGGCGTATGGCAGCCGGGGTGGGGCGCAGCGGGCCCTCGTCGCGGGGCGGCGGGGCCGGCGGGGTCCCCGTGCGGGCGGAGCGGCGCCGGCCTCGCCCCCCGGCCCGCCCAGCGCGCCGAGTCTCAGGCGGGGGAACTGGCTCCCGGAGGTCGCGGGGCGCGCGCCTTCCGGCCGACCGCCCCAGTCCCCGAGAACCCAGGGCTTGCGCGGGAACCTTGCGTCCGCAACGGTTCCGGTAATGACACGGGGCACGCGGGAACTCCCTCTGCGGGGTCCTCGCCACCGACTATGCCGTATCCCCGGGTTGCAGGGCTTTGCAGCTGCACACGGAGGTCCAGGGCGTTCAGGTTACCGCAGGTTCGGTCTGTGTCCCGGACGTGGCCCCACATTTACTGAATGAGAAAAACAAGATGTGAGAGGAGTGTAGAACGTTCGGGAAGGGCACATCAGCCGCTGGGGAGGGGAGCTGAGCCGCTGGCTGGGAGTGTTTCTCCAGAAGTCCTTTGCCTTTGAATCTTGAGCCACGTGACTGTGCCCTCATTCAGTGACGGTGAGGATGATTTCAAGAATTTTAAAATAAAGCGAGTGAATATTGCAAATGTTCATTTGTGTGGTGAAGACCCCCCCGCCCACGGAAGCAACTCCTACTCTGTCCTGCTGCTACCGGACAGGCATTTTAGTCCGCGCTCTCCTTGCTTTGACGCTTTTCGCACCATTCCAGGGATCCCCGGTTTGTTTGTCCTGATACAGAAACGTGGCCCCTGTGCCACCGTCAAGCAGCCACGGACTCGTCTGTACCCCACGACCCTGCTTCTGAGGTCGGTCCACACCTTTACCTCATGTTCTCCAAATTTCTAACCAGGCATTGCCTAAGCCCGCTTCCCTGGGCCTTGTTTAAATACCTGCCTGCCGCAGGGTACTGCTTCCTTGCTCCCTCCTGTTTTGTCCTGGTCTCAGCCTGTCAAAAACCAAGGATTTGGGTGGACCATCCCTTGTGGTTCTTACTGTGATTGCAGAATGCTCTTCAGCAACAACCATTAGGAAGTTTTCAAAAAATAAAGGTTTATTACTTAGAGGGCCTGCAAATTAGCACACCTGGGGCCACAAGGGAGGTTTCAGGTAATGAGAAAGACAGGTGCAGTGGCCTGGCTTCTGCTTTTATCGGGGTCAAGGGTGGAGACCTAGGGTTTCATGGGCTCACTCTTTATTGGTGAATTTAGAACAGAGTAGAGTGGCACCCGGGTGGCTTATTTGGTTAAGTCAGCTCGGGTCATGACCTCAGGGTCCTGGGATTGAGTCCTGACTCAGGCTCCCTGCTCAACAGGGAGTCTGCTGCTCTCTCTCCCACTGCCGCTTACCCCACTGGTGCGCACTCACACTCCACCTCTCTCTCTCTCTCAAATAAAAGTACTTAATAAAATAAAATAAGAGTGGGAATTTCAAGTACATAAAAAGAAAAATAACAAGTGGACCAAATGGCCAGTAATCAGAATCAACCAAGATCTCTAAAACAAAGGAGGCTCAATCAGGGGAAGCGGCCTGGCTCTTTAGGGAGTCCAGTGGCTGGCATTTATTCCATCTTTGACATGGATGCCTGCTTGCAGTGCATGCTTCAGCAATCAGAGCTTAATTCAGGCACTTGGATTACAGAAAGCCAAGACAACTGTCGGGGCTTCTACACACTACCCAGGAGGCAGGCACCGTCCACCATGGGCTTCTTCCAGCCTTTCCTGACTTGTCTTCCCCACCCTTGAAAGACAAAGAGGTGATCGTCACCTGTCAGTGGTGCAGCATGATAAGGGGCCAAAGGACATTGCCACAATACAGGTGGGCCACTGAGCAGGGCATAGTGCATTTGCAGACACAGGGCAGGGAGAGGTGGGGGAAATACTAACTTGGTCCATAGGGGGACCCGTCGTATCAGTGAGAGAATTGTATCTCCTCAGAAGGAAGATTTAGAGCTGGAGATGAGCCCAAGTTTGGGAATCGTCACAGGATAAGGTTGTTGATTCCTTCCTTAACCAAGGAAATCGGTGTAGGTTTAAAAGTAAGCCCTGGTGAACCAGCACGAAGAGATAAGGAGGAGCCTGGGAGGAAACCACTGTTAAAGTGGGAAGGCAGGTCGGGGATAGAGACAGGGATACCTACTATAGATACTTCCGGGAGGTCACGACTCAGACACCATGATGACCATGTTGCGGCTCTACTGTGAATGGATCTGATGGTCCACCTTCAGGGCATTGTGTCAGGAATGAGGGGTAGACCCAGCGTGGTGGGTGTAGGCTCTGGGGCTGTTCTCCTATCATGGCAGGCCTGGGCCGTTCCAGGATACCCATGGGACACTGCTCACCTTGCCCTGAGATCACCATCTTAACTCTTCCATGAGACCCAGCACCAGGTCTCAGACTATAGGAGTAGAAGAGACCCCTGCCAGGTGGAGGTATGGCTCCCTGGAGCTAGCCCCTCTGTACACTCACCTGCATCCTTGCTGGTCTCCAGGTTCCAGCCATGCCTAGCCTCAGAGCTCGGTCTGAAGAGGCAGAAATGGAGCCCTCAGTTCCTGGACCATCCCCTTGGATCCCTGCAGCCCAGGCCTGTGTGAGTGATGCTCCTGCTGTGACCCATGCTGGATCTACACTCCGTGATCCCCACTGCTGTGGCTACACTGAGCCAGGAACCACCCCCCCTCACCATCAGCAGCCAGGTACTGGGAGCAAGTTTCCCACTGGTGCCCTCATTCTGGAGGGACTTTGTCTGCATCACCCTGTGCTTACCCCCAAGAGACATCCATATCATTATGAGGGATGGGCTACCCCATGGACTTGAGGGCCTAGGCTAGAGAGTAGAGAGGAATTGAGCCTGGCTCCAGGCTGTCCTGGTGCCTGGGCAGGACACTGGGTTTCCCCACTGGACATAGAGAGCTGTGATGTAATGGGTCACTGGCTGAGCCCTGCCCAGCCCAGCCACCAGGCTGATGGTGGTCCCCTGCACTCAGTGTACTGCCCTAACTCAGGCTGTGATCCTGCTCCCTCCTGGCTGTATTCACACTACCTAACCATTCCCCTCCACTTTGGAATTCTACTAGACTGTCCTTTCCTGAGGAGCCCCCAACTAGCTTGCCTTTTTTGTGGCCCTATCAGCAGTGATTAGGATGGTCACTCAGTGTAACCCTCCCTCACTGGAATCTGCTATTTTACTGGAGGCCCCTCTTAACTACATGACCTATGGTTTATAATCAGGATATCTGGACAGAAGACCTTGGTCACACACTGTGGCCAGGGAAGGTTGGGCTAATGGCAGTGTTAGTTTGCAAACCTTGTGAACTTTACAGGTATAACTTAAACTGGCCTCTGTATACAAATGGTCTGAAGAACAAGGCAGGACACCTAGGTTGGTAGGTGACAGGTTTTTTTTTTTTTTTTAAGATTTTATTTATTTATTCATGAGAGACACAGAGAGGCAGAGACACAGGCAGAGGGAGAGACAGGCTCTCCACAGGGAGCCTGCTGCAGGACTCGATCCCAGAACCCCATGATCATGACTGGAGCCAAAGGCAGACACTTAATCACTGAGCTACCCAGGTATCCCTGTAGGTGACAGTTTAATAAGCAAGGGAACTTATTTAAGAGGCTTGTCTTGGAAGGCTGCAATATGAATGAACCCTAGCACCCACCTACAAAATCTTAAAAGTTGATAGAGTGGCCTTAACTGGATTTAGTTACATATACTGTCTAGATGGTGTCAGCACCACATCATTGTCTCAAGGCTGTGTCCTTGGGGCAGCTTCTGGGAGCAGGGAAGGCAAGCAGAATGTATGTTCAAGGACGGGAAAAGGATGAGGAACCCGGTCACCTGGATCCAGCTCATGAGTCAACCAGTGGTCACATCCTCTTGATGTCCTCCTTCAACAGGCAGAGATGGTACAAGGCAGTCCTGGGTATGTTGGAGCAGGAGAGTATTAGGGGATGAGAGACATGATGAGGTCCCAAGAAGTGGCCCTAAGAGGCAGGCCTGCTGATGAGCACTCCAGACAGAGGCAGAATGTGAACCAAAGGGTTAAGGGTATGCTGGGCAGAGAATGGTGGGGGAGGCCAGGCCCTCTTCCATTAAAAAGAAAAACAAAAACAACACCTAGGTTGATGGTAACTCATGTTTAAAAAGCCACTGTGGAACAGAATGTTGGAGTACGTAGCTCAAAATACCAAGTCCTCCACATAAACATTAAAAACAAACAAAAAGGGGGCAGCCTGGGTGGCACAGCGGTTTAGCGCCACCTTCGGCCCAGGATGTGACCCTGGAGACCCGGGATCGAATCCCACGTTGGGCTCCCTGCTTGGAGCCTGCTTCTCCCTGTGCCTGTGTCTCTGCCTCTCTCTCTCTCTCTCTCTCTGTGTCTCGCATGAATAAATAAATAAAATCTTAAAAAAAAAAGTAGAAACTGTTAGCACCAATTTTGTCAAGAATCTAAATCTAGAAAACAGGTTTACAGCAATCAGGTGAATGCTAAATCAAGAAAAAAAGGCCACTTAAAAATGGTAGGAAAGCTTTGTGGTGTTTTTACTTGTTTGTGCCCAAACACACCCTGGCTCAGTAGCAGTCTTAAAATGAGCATCTTGTGTTACCAGTGTGGGATCATGGTCCCTCATTCCAAAGGGATCAGATAAGACCTTACTCAAAAATAATTTTGTTTGTCCTAACCTGTGGGGGATTGGATAAAGGGTTGATGCAAAGCACTTGTTTCTGTTTTGCCTAACTCAAAACTTAGGGCAGAAAAGCATGGGTTCAAAAACATTGTAAGGAGGGACACCTGGGTGGCTCAGCAGTTGGGTGTCTGCCGTCAGCTCAGGGTGTGATCCCAGGATCTGAGGATCGAGTACTGAATCGGGCTGTCTGCAGGGAGCCCACTTCTCCCTCTCTCTGTGTCTCTGCCTCTCTCTATGTGTCTCTCATGAATAAATAAAATCTTTAAAAAAAAAAAAAAAGGTAGGGAGGTTGAACAACACTATAAATCAATTAGACCTAATAGACATGTATTTACATAAATTCCACCAAAGGAGTACATATTCTTCTTTAGTGTACCTGGACATTCTCCAACGTAGACATTATGTTAGACCACAAAACAAATCTCAATATAAAAACAGTTGAAATCATGTAACATATTATCTTCAGTCAACCACAGCCTGAAAAGTGAAACATTCACAAATGTGTAGAAATTTAAAAATAGGGATCCCTGGGTGGCGCAGCGGTTTGGCGCCTGCCTTTGGCCCAGGGCGTGATCCTGGAGACCGGGATCGAATCCCACGTCGGGCTCCCGGTGCATGGAGCCTGCTTCTCCCTCTGCCTGTGTCTCTGCCTCTCTCTCTCTGTGTGTGTGTGACTATCATAAATAAATAAAAATTTAAAAAAATAAAATCTTTAAAAAAAAAAAAAGAAATTTAAAAATATACTTTTGGGTATCCCTGGGTGGCTCAGCGGTTTGGTGCCTGCCTTTGGCCCGGGGCGCGATCCTGGAGTCCCAGGATCGAGTCCCGCGTTGGGCTCCCAGCATGGAGCCTGCTTCTCCCTCTCTCTCTCTCTCTCTCTCTCTCTCTCATGAATAAATAAATAAATAAAACTTTTTAAAAATTTAAAAATAAAAAAATAAATATCTGTTAACCTGTGGGTCAAGAAAAAAATCACAAGGGAAATTTGAAAACACCTGCAGACAAATGAAAACAAATAAAAACTTCCAGTATGTAAGGGCAGTGCTGAAAGGGAAATCTATAGCAGTAAATGGATACATTAAAAAGAAAGAAAGATCTTAAATCAGTAACCTAACTTTACATCTTAAGGAACTACGAAAAGAGTAAACTAAACCCAAAGCAAACAGAAGGAAGGAAATAAAAAACATTAAAGGAGAGATAAATGAAATAGAAGGTAGAACATTAGAGAATCAAAATCAAAAGTTTTTTAGGAAATATAAAATCGACAAACCTCTGAAGACATAAATAATAAATCTCAGAAGTGGACATTACTACTGATCTTACAAAAGTAAACAGGAGTTTAAGAGAAGACAGTTGGGGGATTCCTGGGTGGCTTAGTGGTTTAGTGCCTGCCTTTGGCCCAGGGCACAATCCTGGAGTCCCGGGATCAAGTCCCACGTCGGGCTCCCAGCATGGAGCCTGCTTCTCCCTCTGCCTGTGTCTCTGCCTCTCTCTCTCTCTGTCATAAATAAATAAATAAACAAATAAATAAATGAATAAAAGACTGTTAACAGCTGTGCATTGACAAATAATTTAGATGAAATTCCTGAAAACAAACAAAAATTACCAAAGTGACTAAAGAATAAAATATTCTACACATGGGATGTAACCCAGAACACAGGTTCAGCGTAACAAAACCAGTCACACTAATAGAATGAAGGAAAAAACCCATAATCATCTCATTAATACCATCCATAATCATCTCAATTGATGCAGAAAAAATATTTGACAAAATCAAACACCTTTTGTGATAATTCAAAAAAAAAAAAAGAACCACTCAGAAAATTCAATATAAGCTAACCTCCTTAACATGATGAAGGGCATTCATGAAGAACCCGCAGCTAGCATTATATATAATGGTGAAAGATGAAAATCTTTCCCCCTAGTGATCAGGAAGGTATACCTGTTTACCGTTGCTATTCAACATTGTACTGGAAGTTCTAACCAGACCAATCAGCGAAGAAAAAGAAAAGACGTTCAGATGGAGAAGGAAGATAGAAACTATCTCTGTTTCAAAAGGACGTGATCACATATGTAGACTATCACAGAATCCATTAAAAAGTAGAAGAACTAATAAATTTCAACCAAGTTTCAGGGTACAAATCAACACACAAAATCAGTTGTTTCTATGTACCGGCAATGACCAATCTGAAAATGAAATTGAGGAAGCTTCACTTAAATAGCATCAAAAGAAAAAAAAATAGTGGCACCTGGGTGGCTCAGTCCATTAAGCAACTGCCTTCAGCTTAGGTCATGATCTCAGGGTGCTGGGATCTACCTCTACGTCGATCTCCCTGCTCAGTGAAGAGTCTGGTTCTCCTTCTGCCCCTCCCTCATCTCTTTCTCTCTCTCCCTTTCTCAAGTAAATAAAATCTTTAAAAAAGAAAAAAAGTATCTATGAATAAATTTAACCAAGGATGTGAAAGCTTGTTTGCTGAGAATTACAAAGCCTTGACAAAAGAAATTAGCAAGTACCTAAACAATTGGAAAGATGCCAAGTCCATGGATTGGACGTAATAATGTTACAAATGTCTGTGCTATCCAGAGCAATCTAAAAATTCAATACAAATCATATCAAAATTCCAGCTGCGGGGGCACCTGAGTGACTCAGTTGTTGAGCATCTGCCATTTGCTTAGGTGGTGATCCCAGGGTCTGGGATCAAGTCCTGCATCGGGCTCCCTGCATGTAGCCTGCTTCTCCCTCTGCCTGTGTCTCTGCCTTGCTCTGTGTGTCTCTCATGAATAAATAAATAAAATCATTTTTTTTTAAATTCCAACAGCTTTTTTTGCAGGAATTGAAAACTTAGCCCTCAAATCCATAGAATTACAACTCTAAACAGTCAAAACAAGCTTGAAAATGAAGAACAAAGTCAGAGGACTCATAGTCACCAGTTTCAAAAATTACTACAAAGTGTCAATAATAAATTTTTTTTTGTTTTGTACTGACATAAAGCTAAACATACAGATCATTGGAAGAGAATTGAGAGTCTAGAAATAAACCCAGACATCTGTGACAAATCGATTGGTAACATGGTTGTCAAGACCGTTCAGTGAGAAAGATAAGTCTTCAACAGATGATGCTGGGACAAGTGGATATCCGTGTGCAAAAGACTAAACTGGGGCCACTACTTCACACCAAAAATTAATTCAAAATGGCCCAACAGGGATCCCTGGGTGGCGCAGCGGTTTGGCACCTGCCTTTGGCCCAGGGCGCGATCCTGAAGACCCAGGATCGAATCCCACGTTGGGCTCCCGGTGCATGGAGCCTGCTTCTCCCTCTGCCTGTGTCTCTGCCTCTCTCTCCCTCTCTCTGTGTGACTATCATAAATAAATAAAAATTTATTTTTAAAAAAAAAACAAAATGGCCCAACAACCTAAATAAAGAACTGAAATCATAAAACTCTTAGATGTAAATTTTCATAACCTTGGGTTTGGCGATGGATTCTTAGATATAACACTGAAAGCATGAGCAATAAGAGAAAAAGATGGGTAAGTGGGACTTTATCACAATTAAAACTTTTGAGTATCAAGGCACCTTATCAAGAAAGTAAAAAGACATCCTATTGAATGGAAGGAAACCTTTCCAAATTGTGTTTCTGGTAACAGTCTAGTATCCAGGATATATAAAGAACTCCACAATAAAAGGCAACCCAATTTTAAGATAGCAAAGGACTTGAGGAGAAATGCTTTTCAAAAGAAAATAGGCAAATGACCAACAAGCACATGAAAAACTGCTTAGCTTCAGTAGTCTTTTGAGAAAAGCAAATCAAAACCACAATGAAAATACCACTTCACACCCACTAAAGTGGTTGTAATACTTAAATATGTAACAAGTGTTTTCGGGGTGTAGAAAAATAGAAACTCCCATGCATCGCCTTCCGGTCCCTACTCCATATGCAGCCAAAGGAGAGTGAGAGGGTCGCTGGGTCAGTCACTGGGAGCAGTGGGGGGCATAGTGTGCTTTGGCCATCCTGTCCATACCCTTGTTTCCCATAGCAGCCTTCCTGTCTGTCCCTGCAGTCCTCAGTGAACTCTTCCCTCATTACTCCTAACAGCCCAGCATCATGTGAACATTTCCTAGACACCCCAGAGCAAGGGCTCCTGACCTGGGGAGCTCTGAGGCTCACAGAAGAACAGGGTCAGCCCATGTGCAGCATGTGATGATGGGCCTACCTGAGGGTCAGCAGGAGGGTAAAGCATGGTCCCCATATGATGTGCCAGGCACATGGCTGAGTTCCAAGGAGAGTCTGACACAAACTCCATTCAAAGGGCAAGAAGTGTGCAGGGGCTTCCACATGTGTGGGCATGGCAGGCAGATAGGCTGAGTGTGAGGCCGTGCCAGGTCTGCATTGACATCATTCTGGTGGCTCCAGAGGGAACAGAAGTATCTAGAACAGGCAGGGACGCAGTGCTGTTTTGTTAGGTCCTAGAACTCCCAGGAGGGGAGAGGCAATGTTAGCGTGGACTGAGGGACAGGTCAGAGGACAGCGAGTCCAAGGAATCACGGGGAGGGATGTCCACCCACTTACTCTGCACCACTGACTGTGGCCATTCTCAGGACACGGAGCCCTGTCAGGGAGCAGCCAGGCTGCACAGGAGACAGCAAGAAGGGGAGGTGATCAGAGAAAGTCTCTTCAGTGAAGTGTGTTTGGCCAGAAACCAGGAAGAGGTGAAGGAGGGAGGGGCGTCTGGGTGGCACAGTTGGTTAAGTGTCTGACTCTTGATTTCAGCTCAGGTCATGATCTCAGGGTCCTGAGATCAAGTTTCGTGTACATCTCTGTGCTCAGCGCAGAGTCTGCTTTAAGTTTCTTTCTCCTCCTGCCCCTCCCTTGTCCCCCACCCCAAAATCAGTAAATCTTAAAAAAAAAAAAAAAGTATCATGAGGACCATCTGGGGAGAGTTCCAAGTGGGGCAGATCTTAAGTGTATCCATTGTGCTCAGGGAACAAGAGCAGGGGTGCAGGTGAGCTCAGGAAGGGCCTGGGCGAAAGGTGAAATACTCTGATGTCGCTAGGATGTCTCTGGACAGGAGGGGTAGGTACGAGGCGAGGTAAGCTTCTCAGCATCCAGGCAGGGAAAGATGGCAGCAGAGTGGTCTGGGTGTCTCCATTTGAATGAGACAGAGACTTAAGATCTGCATTCAAGTGAGATCCAGGGGAGTGATGTTTTCCTTGTTCCTTTGGGTGTGAAGAGAGAGGGGGAGGTGACAGCCCTTCTGACGGATGAGGAACCTTGTGCACATTTCTGCCTTCAGAAAGATGGACACAGCGGCTTCATCATTGTACCAGGGCAAAGATTGTCCAGCTAGCAGCAGCCAGAATTGCAGGTTTGGGGGGGTAAGGGCTGCCTAGGTAGGGCAGGGCACAGTCTCTGAAGCCTCCTCTGTTGAACAGGACAGAATCTGTTGCTTCTCTGGCCCCTCTGCACCTGCCGGCAGAGAGCCCACCTCTCCATACTGGTGACTCCTGAGGCAAGGCCTGAATGCCATTAGTTGGTGCTAAGAAAACTACTGGCGCAAGAAACACAGTGGGAAATACCAAAGGGCGCAGTGATTAACAATACAGCATGAAGTGTATAATGTTGTACGGGGAGAGTGGCGAGCACTTGGACTTGAGGCACTCCAGGGAGAGCTGGCAGGACTTGCTGATGACCTGCAGTGGGAGAGGGGAGGTACAGCTGAGAAGCACCTGGGATTTTGGTTTGAACCAGTAGGGAGACGAGCGGTGATTTCCTGAGACATGGGTCAGGGGAGCAAGCGTCAGTCTTGTAGTTTAGGGCTCTGCTGCCTTGTCTCCTCAAAGCCCTCCCAGCTCCTCCCTGGTCCTCTTGAGTTTAGGGACTACCACCCCTGGTGGGTCACGCATTCCCAGATGTGTCATCTGTATTTTCCTGTTTCCTTCCAAGTGACTTTGTTTGTCATTTCAGATTGGGACACCAGGACTAAGAGCAAGGAATTTCTTCAGAAGAAAGAAGTTTCTGAGGATTTGGAATCACAGGAAGAAATATCAGAAAACTATACCAGTGATTTTTCCCAGGTGCCTGAGCTTGGAGAACTCTGTGATGATGTACTGGAGAGGGATTGGGGAGCCCCTGACAGTAAGAGACGAGTGCAGTCACTCTACCAGGAGGGGGGCTTCACTCCAATGGCAGTGCTCCTTAGGAGCCCCTTAGAGAAAGAGCTGGGCTGTGATGACTTTGTAAGAAGCTTCAGTCTGAGCCCAAACCCAACAGCATCTCAGGGAATTCCTACAGAAGAGAGGCCACATCTGTATGATATGTGTGGCCAAAGCTTCCAGCACAGTATGGACTTAAGTAGCCATGAGGAGCATCACATAGCTGAAAGCCCACTCATATGTAATGATTGTGGGAAAACCTTCAGAGGAAACCCTGATCTTATTCAGCATCAGATAATCCATACTGGACAGAAGTCCTTTGTATGCAATGAATGTGGAAAATCCTTCAGCCAGAACTCATTCCTTAAAAATCATCAGAGGTCTCATGTGAGTGAAAAACCCTATCAGTGCAGTGAATGCAGGAAAACCTTCAGTGTGCACTCAAACCTCATTAGGCATCAGATTAATCACAGCGGAGAGAAGCCTTATGTGTGCAGTGAATGCGGAAAAGCCTTCAGCCAGAACTCAAGCCTTAAGAAGCACCAGAAGTCTCACATGAGTGAGAAGCCCTATGAGTGCAGTGAATGTGGGAAGGCCTTCAGGCGGAGCTCAAACCTCATCCAACATCAAAGAATTCATTCTGGAGAGAAGCCGTATGTGTGCAACGAATGTGGGAAGGCCTTTAGGCGGAGCTCAAATCTCATTAAACACCACAGGATTCACACTGGTGAGAAGCCTTTTCAGTGTAATGAGTGTGGGAAAGCATTCAGCCAGAGCTCACATCTGAGGAAGCATCAGAGAGTTCACACTGGAGAGAGACCTTATGAGTGTAATGAGTGTGGCAAACCATTCAGCCGGGTCTCCAACCTCATTAAGCATCATAGGGTTCACACTGGAGAGAAACCCTATAAGTGCAGTGACTGCGGGAAGGCCTTCAGTCAGAGTTCAAGCCTCATTCAGCATCGGAGAATTCACACTGGAGAAAAGCCTCACATATGTAATGTGTGTGGAAAAGCCTTTAGTTACAGCTCAGTGCTCAGAAAGCACCAGATAATCCACACAGGAGAGAAGCCGTATGAATGTAGCATCTGTGGGAAGGCCTTCAGCCACAGCTCAGCCCTCATTCAGCATCAGGGTGTGCACACAGGTGACAAGCCATATGAGTGTGGCGAATGTGGAAAAACATTTGGTCGGAGCTCCAACCTTATCCTTCACCAGCGAGTTCACACCGGAGAGAAACCCTACGAATGTACTGAATGTGGAAAAACCTTCAGCCAGAGTTCAACTCTCATTCAGCATCAGAGAATCCATAATGGATTGAAACCCCATGAATGTAACCAGTGTGGTAAAGCCTTCAACCGAAGCTCAAACCTCATTCACCACCAGAAAGTTCACACTGGAGAAAAGCCGTACACGTGTGTTGAATGTGGTAAGGGCTTCAGCCAGAGTTCACACCTTATTCAACATCAGATAATCCACACTGGTGAAAGGCCGTATAAGTGCAGTGAGTGCGGGAAGGCCTTCAGTCAGCGTTCAGTCCTCATCCAGCACCAGAGGATCCACACCGGTGTGAAGCCCTATGACTGCTCTGCATGTGGGAAAGCCTTCAGCCAGCGGTCAAAGTTGGTCAAGCACCAGCTGATCCACACCAGGGAGTGAAATGGAATGCAGCTCCATTCTGACTCCTCTGGCCATGTCCTGGCTTCATTCACCTTCCAGACTTGAAGCCAGATTCTTGCTACCCTCTCCCCCTCACATCCCACTGTCCACAAAGCCCAGACCCTCCTTCCCCTACCATCACTCCTGTCTCCTATGACCCCGTGGTTCTTGTTTGTTTTGCTTGTACATTTTGTTGCCAAACTCCCACAATTGTTAGGAGGGGAGAGATGATAGATGCTGCGTATTCATGAATAGAGTTTATTACTATAATCAAACAGAACCAAAAAAGTAAACCGATATTTGGTTCGAAATAACCACAGTAACTCTTTTCTTTGGCAATTATTCATAAAGAGTGAATTCTGGTGCCTATGGTTATAATTGATACTCTGCTTATCAGGTCAAAAGTTTTTCAGGTCGAATTGCAGTCATCCTTCCCCAGAAATGGTGTGTACTCATTACCACCAGTTCCTCACTCTTTCTTGTCCCTCCCATGTACCCACTAGGTGCAGGATTCCTGCCCCCTGTCCTTTGTACCTGAGTCTAAGGTCATGCCTTATGGTCCCACTTAGGGCTGCTGCACAATTACACATACAGCTATTTCCCACCCTCTGGCTTTGCACCTTACGGTCCTGGTTGTTGGCCCCACAGAGCCCTGCCCTCTGCATACCCCTCCTGTTCTCACAAGCTCCCAGGCCTGCTCATCACCAGACATTTATAGAGCACCTGTGAGCATCCGTAGTTGGTGGGGACTGACCCCTCAGTTTCCCAGAGTGTGCCTTTCTCCATGAGCAGTGGGGGTTGGCCCAGAAACAACACATCTGCCACTAGAAAGGCTCCTAGATGCCAGCCAGCAGGTCTCATCTGGGGGGTGTCCTAGGGTAAGTGGACAGAGAGGCCCCTCCTGTGTTTTTCCAGGAGGAAAGGCATTAACAGGCTGATGTAGTCGGGTGTGCAGTTAGGGTAGGATGGTAAGGGCTTGGCTTCTGTTCTTTCAAGGAAGTAGGAGCAAGGCCATCAATTATAAATGAGGAAGGAGAGGTTTGAAGGGAAATATGGGACAGTTGGCTCAAGGGTGCACAGGTCAGGCTGGGGTTACACTGGGCTGCCTCCCCTTCTCTGAGAGGCCATCAGAGTAGCCATCACTGCTCACCCCACTTCAGCCCCACCTTCCCAAGGAAACACCCTAGATGAGAAACTGCCACATTTGCAGTTTTGCTTATAGCATTGCTGTGCTAACCTTCCAGCTCACTTGTTCCTCTTTCTGCCCCATGTAGACCTCCCTTTTCTTTCTTACTGTCGGGCAACCCTCTCTGGCTTCACTTTCCCCTTTGTCCACCCTGAGTCCATCCTTTTCTCCAGTAAATACTTGTTTGATGCATACTACATGCCATTTGCTGGGGACACAGCAGGAAACAAGAAAGAAAAACGCCTGTCCTGAGGATTTTACATTCCATTGGGTAGAGAAAATGGCCTAATGGTTATGATTATTATTAAGCAAAAGAAAGCAAGAAATAAGGTATGGGTGTTTTGAAGGGGTCTTTTAAATGAGGCTATCAGGGGCCTCCCCAAGATGTCCTTTGAGTTGACAACTTGAAGCAAATGAGAGAATGACCAGTGAAGATGGGAAGTGGGGGATGACACCAGGAATAGCCAGTTTTGTTAGGAAGGCAGAGCTGAGTAGTAAATTAGGAATGTGCACATTAAGAGCTGTGGAAGGAGGAGGTACAAGCTACCCACATAGGTCACCAGGTAGCTCCCTCAGCATCCAAGCTCCCGTTTTGGGAAAGTGAAAACCCTGGGGTCTTTTTTATTGAAGGCACAGTTTGAATACACTCATACAAAGGAATTAAAGTCACAAGATTACTGCACACAGATCCCAGAAGCAAGGGGCCCAATGACCCAGGGGAATGGTGGTCCACCATCCCAGGTCATGAATGAGAAGGGAATAGGGTAGCAAGCACCTATTATTCAGGAGTTGCTTAGGGTAGAGATCACTAACTAAACTCAAGTTTTGTTTTGTTTTTTAAGATTTTATTTATTATAGAGAGAGAGAGGCAGAGACACAGCAGAAGGAGGAGCAGGCTCCACGCAGGGAGCCCGACACGGGACTCAATCCCAAGACTCCAGGATCACACCCTGGGCTGAAGGTGGCGCTAAACTGCTGAGCCCCCCGGGCTGCCCCTAAACTCAAATTCTGATCTCAATGTCCACACTCTGGGTGTATGTAGGGTTGTCCTATGGTAAAATGCCTGGGCAGTAACTAGAAAAAAAACAGGCTTTTCTCATCACACCGGTTCAGAGGCCCCGAGCAGAAGCAGACCAAGTGTTCAAGAATCATCACAGGTCAGTATGGCCAGGAGTTGAGTGAGCAGAGGGAGAAGCAGATGGGGTGGGAGGTAATGGGCCATATCACAAAAGGCCTTATGGCCATGATAAGGACTTTGGCTTTTACACTGGGTGAAATGGGAGATGCTGGAGGCTTTTGATGACTCACATTTTAACAAGGTCATTGCTATGTGGAGAAGAGGCTCTGGGGCAAGCATGTCCTCTGTGTTCATCCCTCTTTTTGCCCCTTCCCCTGGCCTCCACATCATTGGGAGACTCCCACCCCCACCCCCTGGGGCTGAGGCATAGCTGTGGGAAGCCACAGTCTAGACAAAGGAGTGTGTGTCAAGCTTCACCGGGCCTTTGTCCCTACCCAGTGTCTGGACAGATCTGACCAAACTTAGGGGATTGCTGTCTGCAGCCTGAGGAATTTTGATTTTGGAATATGTTTCCAAAAAGAACATGTGGAAAGCAGGTTGTCAACTACAATTTCTTTTTACTTTCATGATGTCCTTGAAAGTGTTTCTTGGGGAACAAGCACTAAGAAGCCTGGGTGCCCCCTCCTTGGGGCCAGCAGATTTGAAGTCACTGAAACCCTACAGGACAGGAGGAGTGAGGTGTGTGCTGCAGCCTCACCCCCAACCACAGCAAACGCCCAGGCCAGTGCCCTTCTGTTGCCCCTCAAGCCACTTTGGACCTACGCTAGGATCCCTGCCTTGCTGACCTCATGCCCTTGTGGTATGTGTGGCATTATGTGTGGCATTGTCAGTCTTGACCGCTGAACCGAATTTTGGGTGGGTGGGGGGTGCCCATCCATCCTGCAGGTAATGGTAAGAATCGAGTTTGGCACTGTGGGCAGGACAGCTGGACTATGGTGCCCCAGGGCTCCATCTGCTCAGGCTTCGGCCCCCCATCCTGGCCAGCGCAAGCCAGCCCACACTGAGCCATGCCACACGCGCTGCACTCTTAAGTCCAACAGAGCCTTTGTTAGGGAGTAGCTGACCTAAATCACTAGATAATTAATTGTTGTTTAGGGACAGCAGTACGGGACAGGAGCCCTCCTTAAAGGGGCCCTGAGTTGTGTCTGATCCCAGGCCTATGCATACTTGAGACCAAGGCTGCAACGGACTCTAGCCCAGGGGAGAGACCTGTGGCCATCGGGTGGCCACTCAGAAGGAGCACATTTGCAAGGAGGAATTGGGTGGCATGCCAAGTGAGGCTCACACTGCAGAGAGCAGATGCTCCAGTAGGATCCCTGAATACTGCTGGTGTCACAACAAAGATCCGGAGCCTCCGAGTTCTAGGGAAGAACACCCCCAGCACAGCCAAGAGATTGATTCAAATCCAAATTAAGCCTGTAAAGCAACTATTGCCAGGCACTTGCCCCTGATGATGCTGACCAGAGGTTCTCTGGAAGAAATCTGTGAACCCGAATGCAGCAGAGAGGACCACCCCGAAGTACATCCAGTGACCCCTCCCCCCACAGAAAGGAAAGAAACCCTGCATAGAAGGTGAAGCAACAAACCAAAACAGGCCCACAATTTGGCCAACTGAGGGGATCCCTGGGTGGCTCAGCGGTCTAGCACCTGCCTTTGGCCCAGGGTGCGATTCTGGAGCCCTGGGATCCAGTCCCACGTCGGGCTCCTGCATGGAGCCTGCTTCTCCCTCTGCCTGTGTCTCTGCCTCTCTCCCTCCCCCCCGCCCCCGTCTCTCATGAATAAATAAAATCTTTTAAAAATAAAGGGTGTTGATTTATGGCTATACTCGGGGATACACCACTGAATTTAAACAGGGACCCCTAAAAAAGCATAAGTTACTAAATATAAAATAGAGGACAGATAGATATGCCTCATCTTAACAAAATTATTGCCTACATTCCTCATAATCATAATACACACTGCTCTTAAATATTCTGTGGACACTCTTACCCAGTGAGTAATAAATTAAAATTTAATAAAGTCGGGGATCCCTGGATGGCTCAGCAGTTTGGCAGCTGCCTTCAGCCCAGGACGTGATCCTGGAGTCCTGGGATCGAGTCCCGCATCAAGCTCCTTGCATGGTGCCTGCTGCTTCTCCCTCTGTGTCTCTGCCTCTCTCTCTTTCTCTGTGTGTGTGTGTGTGTGTGTGTGTGTCTCATGAATAAATAAAATATTTTTTAAAAATTTAATTAAGTCTTTGCTACTTATAAATTGGTTTGGCAGTATGAGTTCCCATGCGCGCGCACACACACAGTTAATATAGTTAACATAGCCCTATATAAATTCAAATAGGGCATTCAAGGGTTGAAACCCATTATATAAGACCTATTTATAGAACCACCGCTTTTCCAATTAGCAGCCCAATTTGGCCTGTTCTTACACCTGGAAAGAATGAATGGTGCTTCACGGTGGATCACCGCAGTCATGATGCTATGGTCCATCTGGTGAGGCCCCCACACCCAGTGTTGTTGAAATTATGGGCTCCATCCAATCAGCAACTGCCAAGTCATTTGTGCTTACAGATTTGGGTAACAAGTTCTATTCAGCGCCTATTTTAACCTTTCAGCCACAGTGTGCCTTCACCTCTAAAGGAACATGATTTTCCTTTTCTTGGATGCCCATACGGTGCCTCAGCAACCTCACTGTCACATACAGTAGTGGCAGATGGGATCTTAACTGCATCCACCTTCCTCTGGGAACAGAGATGTGACATTATTGATGACATCCTCCTCCAAGGAGACTCATTTGATATTAATTTGTGTGTCACATATATTCAGGACACACAGGAGCTCATCAAAGGGACTGGGCCATTGTCCCCCAATGTACAAGCCCCTGCCTCTGCTATTAAGTTGCTGAAAATGGTTGTTAAGCCAAGGGCTGCTCCATCCTTGAAGCTTGAAAAACAGCCAGTAAGCTTGTCAGCACCCACAACGCCTTTAGATCTTTTTGAGGTTCTGGAGGCAGCATGTTCCTCATTTACAAATTTTACCTAACCTCATTTATGCTGTTATTTGGAAAATAGCCCACTCTACTTGAGGGCCTCTCCAAGAAAATCCTCAAGAATCCGTCCTGATTGCAATACCACATACCCATTAGTATCCCCCAACAAGATTCCTTCAGCACAGGGGCTTCAGCAAACCCCTCTCGCACTTTCCAGAGTATCTGGACCACCCATGGTGGCCATAAGTTGTCCAAAGGCTTCTGGTCCAAGAAACGATCTTCTTTGCCCTCTACTATATGCTACAAGAGATATAATTGCTGGCCATGTACTGGGCCCTTCTAGAAATGAAGGCTCTCACAGGCCCTGAGTCTCAAACCATCTACCTAGCAGCCTAGTATGCTTTAGTTTGTGAAAGGCCCTGGCCTAGCCCTAGCCCTAGCCCTAGCCCTAGGCCTACCCCTTGCCCCTAAACCCTGACCCTAACCACCTACAGAAGGGGCAGCCTCCCCTGACCTCATCCTTTGCCAGGGGCCAGGCTGTTGGAGGGCAGCCCTCCCCAGACCCTTTGACTACCCGAGGAGCCTCTTGGGATGAGCTAAGTGAAAAGCAGTGGGAATTCACAGACTATACAAACAGCACACTGCCAACCATGATAGATGATGGAGCTCAGTGGGAGCTGCTGGCCCTCACTTCTTAACCAGCACACCCCTGTTAAAGAACCAGATCCAAATGTCAGCATAGTTAGCCAAATTTCAGACAATTCTTTTACATTTTATTTATTTGTTCATGAGAGACAGAGAGAGAGAGAGAGAGAGAGAGAGAGAGAGAGAGAGAGAGAGAAGCAGGTGCACTGTGGGGAGCCCAATGCAGGACTCGAACTGGACCCTGGGATCATGACCTGAGCCAAAGGCAGATGCTCAGCCACTGAGCCACCCAAGCCTCCCCAAATTTCAGACAATTATCTTAGCACTGGATGGCCTGGCTAATGAATGGCCACATCTGTTTTACCAACTCTCGTGCCATCGCCTAAGAGTTGCCTCCTTTAGGGCAAAGAACTCTCAGAATCTCATGCCTCACACATAGATGTCCCAAAATATCAAGGTCACAGATGACTCTACCCATACTCCGACCACAGTACAGGATCTCACCAGGACACCCTCATCCCCTCTGAAGTAGCTAAGGCACTCTTGTCCCTTCTCAGAATACACAATGCTGGGGTCTGGAAGGATTCAGTGGGATTTTCATCTCCTTCATTAGCCTCAGGCTGCAGGTTGCAAGAGGGCTGTATAGCTTATTTAAACAAGCACTAATGGGATCCCTGGGTGGCACAGTGGTTTGGCGCCTGCCTTTGGCCCAGGGTGCGATCCTGGAGACCCGGGATCGAATCCCACGTCGGGCTCCCGGTGCATGGAGCCTGCTTCTCCCTCTGCCTGTGTCTCTGCCTCTCTCTCTCTCTCTCTCTCTGTGTGTGACTATCATAAATAAATAAAAATTTAAAAATAATAAAATAAACAAGCACTAATTCAATTAAATGAAATATGGTGTGTTTCAGTCATCAAATATCACAGGTGAATTATAATGAGTGGTCTGGATCCATTTTTTGATGTTTGCTGACAGCCCTGGAATCTCATCCCCCTATTCTCCATGCCCACATCTGGACAAGCTGATAAAAAAGCTGGGTGCTCTCTCCTTTGACAACAACATAAGATTCAAACCACCTAAGACTTCACCTATGCTTGGCAATCCTCCCACCCACCATACATGCCGACCAGAGTAAAGACCCTAAGTCAATACCCCTTTCATGACTCTCCTCTCAAGCCATTTCAGACCAGTTTGAGAGGCTTTCCTTACTCTTCCCAGATTCCTCCATTATGTAATAAACCTTTCCATGCTTTCAAAAAAAAAAATAGAAGCAGTAAGCACTCTGGCACCACACCTTCCACTCTGTCCTTTGTTTATGGACATCAACAAATTCCTCTGTGTTGTGACTTCTCTGAAAGTTCCCTTCAACTTCCTGTTCTAAAACCTGGTCGCCCCCTGATCACACAGGTGCCCTGAAGCTTTCTCCCTCTTCCGTATACCGCTGGAACTGGAGGCTGGGAGAACATTCTCCTTGCTCTATTTCCACTCCCAGACACGATTCCTGCCTTCAGCCAACAACCTCAATTCCTTTAAGAACAACAAAGCAGCAGCCCTAACAGCTGGTAGCTGGCCTGGTACAAACTGTGCAGAAGATCCACGTGCTTGGTAAGAGTCCTGCGAGATCTCCCTCATGTAACCCCACACGGTTTATGCTCTACAAGCGGGTCCTAAAACATCTGGGGTCAGACTGACGAGAGGGAAGAGTCTCCCCTAACGTCCACAGGCACCCCTCCACACAAGGCGAAGCTGGGAAATTCTGGAGCATGGTATGTGCAGAGCAGGGCCAGGATCCAGCCCAATCCTAAAGCCTCCATGGCTCCAGAGGGAACTCCTGAGTCTGAGGGCAGAACAGACCTGATGGCTGAGAACAATGCAACCCATGCCAAGACAGCTGTGAGAGCAGCAGAGTCTTAGCTGGACCATTCCCCTGGGGCTTGGCGGGCAAGAGCCCGACAATCATCCGTGGCTACTAGGCTTCCCTGGAAGTAACAGGACGGCATGAGGGCAGCCTGGCTCCCAGGTACCCCATGTGGCTTATTCTTATGGTCTTTTGTGCCCATGGGCTAGGCTCTGAGCCTTTCCACATGTTAGAATATCAGCTGAGAAGATGACTCTCATATGGAAATTTGATCTAAGAAAAAGGTGCCATCTCTGAAAGTCTATTATCAAGACTATGGAGGAAAGGATAAACTCCTGTAGCCCATCCTACAAAGAAGTCCTACAACTCAATTAGAAAACAACCCAATAAAAAAATGGGCAAAAGATTTGAATGGACACTTCACCAAAGAATATATGGTAAATAGGCATAAGTAATAACACTCAATATCATTATGCATTAAAAACTACGGGGCACATGGGTGGCTCAGTTGGTTGAGTGACTGACCCTTGGTTTCAGCTCAGGTCCTGATCTCATGGGTCGTGAGATCAAGTTCCACCTTGGGCTCCATGCTCAGTGGAGGTCTGCTTGGATATTCTCTCCCTGTGCCCCTCTTCCACTTGTGCACATGCTCTCTCTCAAATAAATACATCTTTAAAAAAATATGGGGATCCCTGGGTGGCTCAGCAGTTTGGCGCCTGCCTTTGGCCCAGGGCACGGTCCTGGAGTCCCGGGATCGAGTCCCACATCGGGCTCCCGGCATAGAGCCTGCTTCTCCCTCCTCCTGTGTCTCTGCCTCTCTCTCTCTCTCTCTCTCTCTCTCTCAAATAAATAAAAATAAATAAATAAATAAATAAATAAATAAATAAATAAATAAATAAATAAATAAATAAAAATACTAGAACTCACAATATATTTTTTTAAAAAAGAAAAAATGCTAATTAAACCACAATAAGACACCACTCTACATCCATGGCTAGTTTTTAAAACAACTACACCAAACGTGGGTATTATGAGGAGCAACTGGAGCTGTCACATTGGCTGGGAGATGCAAAGTAGTAAAAAAATACTTTGAAAAGAGGCTGGCAGTTTCTTAAAAAGTTAAACACACACCTACTATACCACCAAGCCACTCTAGATATGAGCCCAAGGGTAGAGAATCCTAGGTCTATAATACTTGTACATAAACATTTGTAGTAGTTTTAGTTGCAAAAGCCAAAAAGTGGCAACCCAATGTCCACTAACA